CTTTTTCTTTTAATTTTTGATAATTAAATACAATTTTTTTCTTTCTTTTCATTTTTTTTAAATCCAAATATATTATTATAATTTACTTCACTCTATGGTATTATTTAGTTGTTTTATTTTATTTATTTATAATTATTTAAAAATTTAGTTTCAATATAATATTTTGTGCTTCTAAATTTCAATTATAAATAATTTATTAATAATATTTTTGACAATAAAATCTTAAGTGAGATCAGTGTTATCAAAATTATGATTTTAGGTCAAGAATTTGTACAAAATTACTCTTAAAAATACAATGCTATGAACTCGTAATGAAATTGGGGTACAATTATGAAATCATATAAAATTAGATAAATTCGTGAGTTTATCCATTTTGTAATAATTTTTTTGATACTAACCTCTCAGTATTCAATAATCACATTAGATTCTAACTAATTCAAAATCGAGTTGAGTCAGACCCTATTAAAGAGAAACACTTATAGTACTTATTTTTTCATTTATAAAACTCGAATTCGACAATTTATTTAAAGGGAATCGAATTTATTTCACTCAGACCAATAAGTAATTAGTATCCATCTTGTAATAATTGGATTACTTTCAGATACCTTAGGCCAATCACCTTGGATTTTGCTGAATTTGAACCAAATAGCCTTTACCCACTTTCAGTTTCCTTTTATCCCATTTGAAATACAAATATCATACGTATGTATATAATTTATTGTATATTAAATTTATTGAACTCTCCATTTTACTAATTTGATTTTATGATTTTAATTTTTTCTAATCCAAAATAATTTTAAGTAAACTTTCAATTTTTACAACCTTGAGTGAGATGCCCCATATTATATCTATTAAGTAATTTGATGTCATGTGAACATTATAAGATTTATTGTGACAATTTTGTTGCCAAAAAATCAAAACCAATTAATTAAACCCAAAAAATCTCTAATGCCATCTTTATTTAGCAATGGTGTAAAATTAGAATAATAGTATTTAATATCATCTTAAAATGATAAATGAAAAAATTAGTTTAAGGAACCACTATTTAATATAAATGAGAGAACTAAGATAACGTTTTGGATTGTTTTCTCACCACGTTTTTTCACACAATACTTTATAAAAATGTTAATTTATTAAAATTAAATTAATTTTAATTGATATGTTATATAATTTTTTAGTCATATCAATATATAAGACTTTTTTTTTTGAAGTATTTATTAAATAATAACATAAATTTTTTCATAATAAAATGCTAAAAAACTCACAATCACAATATTTCACAATAATTCTAAATAGAATCTAAGCGAATATGAAAGAAGTATGTTTAATTAGTATGCTTGAATAAACAAAGAACTTGTAAAGACTTCTTCTGAATAAATATAATCATCATTTTTCCATAAAAGTGAATATAAAAGTGATTTTATTTTTTCTTAGAAAAGATTTTAGCATATGAATTAGAGCAGTTTTTCTGGTAATGAATAATTTTCTTGAAGACTTGAGTTGGGTGTATGTTAGTTATTAGGAAAATAATGTGTGCACATCCGGATTCAACACCCGGGTGTGCACACTCCACATAAAAAAATAAATTGGAAAACACCCGATTTATTTTTTTTTTATGTGGAAAGTGCATACCCAAATATTAGATCTGGGTGTGCACCAATCACAGTACTAGTTATTAACAGCAGGGAATGTCCAATAAAAAAGAATTTAGCCCAATTTCTGTCAATTTCTTAATGTCCGTGTTAGGTTGCTTTTAATTTCTATGAAGAACCAAGCCACGGGTGCTTTTGCTTCAAAAAAAAATACCACTTGTTGGGGGGAAAATAAGTTTTTTTTTTTTTTTCCAAAAAAAATTGTTGTTTGGGGCTTTTTGAAAAAAATTTATGAAAAATAATTTTTGTTGTTTGATTCCTAATGAAAAATCTTTAATTTTTTTCCTCAACATTATACACATTGTAACATTAATGACTAAATTGTTGTTAAAACCCATCAAATGTAGGTAATCAACTTGTTTTTTTTGTAAAGGTTAATGACTCAAATGTTATAAATTACAAAGTCTGATGACCATTAATGAAGTTTTCCCCATGTAAAATCACGCACCGACTTTGCCAAGGGATGAAGCGAATCCACCAATGAAAAGGTGAGGGGGTCTGCTTCTGCTTTTTCTTGCCTTCTTCTCAAGGCGTGATCTTTCTCGGCTGTTTTCCATGAATGAAGTAATGACAGCCGCCGATGCATCAGCTAGCTTCCGATCGGGGTCATCTCCGCCGTCGATTTTCCCCTCCAACGTTCCTCTCCTGTCTGCTTTGTTATCCTTGGCTCTAGCTCAGTTCCTCAAGCCCTTCACTACCTGGTATTGCCCTTTTTCTTTTCTCTTGAAATTCTACTTGCTTGCTTACATTAAAGGGGAAAACCCAAGTCTAAAAATTCTTAACGGAGATCGGATCGATAAGTGACTCGTTAGGAAATTGTTCTTACTTTCATGGGTAAATTTAATTTCTTGAGATAAGTAAAGGGCCTGAACAGAGCATAGTGTTGTTGCGTTTATCATTTGGCTTAAGCTTTGGGCCGGAAGTTATGGTGAAAGAGTATTAATGAAGTAGGGAAGATAGGAGGACTCATTTCATTAGTTGAAATATTATGATGTATTATCGGTTTAAGGCTTCCTTTGACAATGCTTTCCACAGACATTTTTTTACACACTATCTTATCTAATTATCTAAAACTGTAAATTTAAAATTTTTGATTAATTTTTTATATACTTCTACTAATTTTAATTAATTTTATCACTAATGCTATAGTTACAATGGCACCTGGAATTGTAAACCTAAGATTGTAAGCTTACAATCCTAGGTGGCATTTAATGAAATATGGTGTGGCATTGAACGAGTGAATACATATAATATCACGGGTGAATCCTTAAATGAAATGACACATCATGTTGTAAGCTTACAATGCCACATCATGTTGTAAGCTTACAATGCCATGTGGCATTGTAACTATAGCATTTTCGCAAATTTATATACACTAGTTTTGGATGGTTAAAAGAAAAACAAACTTACAACTACAGTCACCAAGGAAGCACAGGACAAAAGAAGCCTAAATTCTATGGATATGGTCATCATTCAATTTGTTAAGGCCACTGATAACTGTCAAATTTTTATTTTAATTTGACTATTAAAAATAGCTGGTAACTTATAAAATAGTTAGTAACTTAGTATTTATTATTTAAGAGATTGCAAGGGAAAAGAAAAAGATGGCCTTAATAATTATAGTTAAATTGGTGGCCTTAATGATTTGGATGGTGGCAATAACCTACTCCCTTGTTTCCTATTATCAATATAAAAATGAAAAAATTGTTTCTTTTCTAGGTATGTCTGGTTTCTATTGAAATGCTAAACAATTTACAGAGGAAAAGATGGGAATCAAAGTAATCTACTTGTAGGTTTGGAAATAAGTGGTTTCACTCAATTTTCCAATTCTTTTCATTTTTCTTGCTTAGTCTTTCAGTATGCTCATAGACATGCAGGTTCAAGGAGAAGAGATGGGATTCAAGAAGGATGGCGGGTTCGGGTGGAATGCCTTCATCACATTCAGCAACTGTGACTGCACTTGCAGTTGCTGTTGGTTTGCAAGAAGGAATTAGTGGACCAACATTTGCTGTTGCATTGGTATTGGCATGTGTTGTATGTATTTCCAAACCAGCTCTTTTTCATTCCTTTTGTGTTAGCTTGTCCTTTTATATTGGTATGCTTACTTGAAATGGTGTTTGGCTTTATTTGTTATCAGAAATGTTTTGTGCAGTCCATACTGCACTGGACTGCACAAAACTAACCATCAGATTGGGGCAGGTCCTCCCTCATCTGATGGTCCTGGTTAGCTTGTCCTTTTATATTTGCTTGCTTACATGAAATAATGTTCAATTTTATTTGTTATGTAGGGTCAGCATGGTTTTTTAGACTTTGTGAATGATCTGGCATTACTGGCCTTGTCAAATTGTTAAAAAATTTCTCTACTTAGAACTTGTTTGAAGTAACATGAAATGTTGCAACATTAATTTTGCTGCTAGGCTTGACATTATTGATTTCATCATTCTCTGAAGTGATCCCTATTTTCTGATCTTTAAACAATCTGTATGCTTCAGTAAAATGTGTTCCACTGTCCTTTTAGGTGTGATCAGTTTGCCCAATAATTTATGAAGTCTAGTTTTTGAATAGATAAATGGATAAAAAAATATACAAAATTGCTTTCTTTATCACTACCACAAGTATGCAATTGAGGATTTGTAATGGAAAAGGGAGAGATAGCTATCAACTATGGAAAAGAAGTTTTGAATTATGGTGGAACTTCCTGTTTATATTCAGCATCCCATGTCCCAAGCACCCTAGTACATCAAGTCTATATTCTTTCAAAATTTCACTTCCATTTGCTATTTTATTTAGAAATAAGGATTATTACTCCTTGATGTTGATAGCATTTACTTTATTTTTCAACCTAGTTTGGTGAGTTTGTTTTTTTTTAATGCTTGTTCACATTTATCAGTTTCTATTTTCTAACCTTCAATTTATAAATAGTCAGAATATATAAGTAGGCAGACTGCCTGAATTTATTTTCCACGCTTTTTGGCAGGTCATGTATGATGCTTCTGGTGTAAGACTTCATGCTGGTCGTCAGGCTGAGGTAAGAATTTTTGAGTTGTAGCATTTTGTGTATGTGTGTGAATTTATTTCTATCAAAACTACTATTCTCATATCTGCTGAAGTTTGATAAGGAATCATTTAAAATTTGATGTGTTTTCTATGGCCCTTATCCTTAAAGTTCCAATTCAATGTTGTTCAATCTGCACGACTACTCTCTTAAATTGTTACCTCATTAAATATTTTATTTACATCTTATACTATTGTGTGTTTATGCAGTTACTGAATCAGATTGTTTGTGAGCTACCTCCTGAGCACCCTCTCTTCAATGCTAGACCTCTTCGAGATTCACTTGGTCATACTCCACTTCAGGTATTTTACTATCAACAATTTTCACAAACCATTGGCTACCTCTACATTAAATATATTTAAATATTTTTATCTGCTTGCTTGATTGGAATCATGAGTTTTACTTTAGAAAAAATCAACAATAATGTTCTCAGAGCTCATGCAAAATTCTTGCATCGTCGTCAGTAACAGCACAGATCAATTTTCTCTTGCCTTTGTTCCATTATGAAACTGGAATGACTTCCATGATGTGACAATATTATTTCTCAAACCCCAAGAATCTACAAGATTCAGTTGGTGGAGTTGCTTTTGCTTTCGTTTACTCATTCAACCTTTGGCCTAGACATTTTAAGATCCTTGCAGTTTTTTAGTTGGATGAAACCGCTGTTAAAACACAACCAATATTTACATTGTTGTGGTATTATTTCATTCTGCAACTCATTATTGACAATTTTAAGTTCTTGCTCATTATTGCCTCTCATTTCACACCAATTTTAATGTCATTTTACCCTGACATTGGTTCAGGTTCTTGCGGGTGCTGTATTGGGTTGTGTAGTAGCATTCGTTGTGAGAAATTCCAATTGAGTGAAGGTGGATTGTGATGTCTGATTTGCTATATTGTTCTGCTTGAACCCCGTTTTCACTGTTCAAGTGTATTGGCATTCTTTGTTTCCTGAACATTTTCACTGGAGCTAGTAAACCAAATTCCTTCATTTTGCTTCAGTTAATAGTCTTTTGAGGTAGATACTTGTCAGCTTCTGGTCAAAGATGAAAATTAGAATAAACTCATATCTCAGCTATGGGATGTGTAGTAATAAAGGAATAATTCAATGAAACTGAATTTAATTGAATGCACCCCA